TATCCCTGGAAATTCAAATTTTCTTCCATACAAACTCTGTAATTTTTGTTCTTTCTCTGAACCCCTTACGCTTCAGAAATTTCCTCTGTGGGGTGGGTATGGATAATTTCTGGAACTACATATTACACCTAGATGGATAGATACTGTAAAATTGATACACCATGATTGCATCATTATGAAAGGGAATGTATGTTTCAGGACTGTGACAAGATGTTTAGAAAGGGATGCAATTTACATGAATAGTCAAACTTTAGGGGGAGTGGTAGTAGTGACTTATTTATGGTGGGTGTTATGTATCGTGCAACCACACAACTGTCATGTTAGTTAAGTTAATAATGATCTTGGTGTCTTCCGTCATGGCCTTGTCTTTTGTGCTCTTAATCTCTAAGGAATTGACTTGCAAAATATATTGTGAATTTTATGTCCTACATGTGATCTTTCAAATCCCTAATTCCTGCAAGTTTGAATATAAATAGCATTTTGATCATTGCAACATGTCTTTTTTTCCTGCTAGCTACCGATATTCTACAGCTATCAAGAGCAGTATTGTTGCTTAGTGCTGAATGCTATACAGTATGGAATATGAGGTAACATATGCATATTTCAAAGATATATCCTTTCTCTCCAGGGACTTCAGACATTGAGGCCCAGTAGGGACTTTCAGTCCTATCACAGTTGTGCCTTTTATCCTGGTATGATTTTGAGCAGGGGTGATTTCAATTGAAAACAGTGACTTAAATTGAACTTCCTTGCTTTACCCTACCATGTATTAAGGTGCTCCAAATTGGTTGAGGGCACATACTTTATGAGAACATGCAGCATGCGCAGCACACTTTATATTTTATAATATTTATATCCAAAAATGTCATATCTAACTTGTACTTTGTAAAAGAAATAGAAAACTTGTTTGCTGTGCTATGTGTGCAGTTATGAAGCACTTGAGGATTTGCAGAACACCAAAGAAGTGTTGTGCTTCTCCTGACACTTCTCTCTTGTTTTGCCGCTTGCTGCTTGCTTTATAACTGCACACAGCTTGCTTGCATGTTTTGCATTTCTTCATTTCGTACTGGTTTCATTCCAGAAAGGAGCTGGTAATGACAAGTGTACTGAACATAGATGACGATCTTCAGTTATCATCTTTAATTTTGTCCAAACACCCCAGAAGTGCAGAGACATTCAGCCATCGGTATGTCTATTTGTTGGTCGTTAATAATATTTGTGGGTCATAAATATACAGCTATAATAACAAAATGGCTTGTGTATTTTTTCCATAGAAAATGGCTCATTGTTCAATATGTTAAACAGAAAGGCAGATCAAAATATATCCAGGAATGGCTTAGAAAAGAACTGTGTATCTGTCTTTACTGTGCTGATCATTATTCAGACAACTATGTTGCTTGGACACACAGAGGATGGATAACTGAAGAATTCATTGATTCTAAAAAGGTATTGAACCTTACCTGTACATGTTTTATCAATAACTCCTTGGAGTTCATCAATTGGTGGTAAAATGCTTGCTCCCCTCCTACTTCTGTGCTTCAAGGTTAGATTTCCAGTCACCCCATGTGAGCCGAGTTGTTTCTCTTTCTGACTCTGAGCGTTTCTGGCTTTACATTTTTCCTCCCTCCTCTCAAACCAACCACTCATTCAAACTGGTTATAGTTGTGCTCTGGGGTCATACATGAACTGTATAGCACCATTGCTGCAGTGGTAATAAGTCAAACAAAAAAATAAGTGTGTTCCCTGTTGCATGAGAAAAATATAACTGGGGTCAGTAGGACGAATTTTTTTTTTACTGATGCAAAAGTGGAAATGAGCTTACTGGGAACCCTAAGGTGCATTTGGGAATGAAAAAATATTAGGGTCGGCAAAAATCGGCAAAAAAATGGGATTGATCGCACAACAGGAAACACACTTGCTTTTTTTTTGTTTGGCCTAAGGGATAAACCTAGGTTTAGTTTTTTAATGTAGTAGTAGTTTTTAGATATTGGTTAATTTTTTTTTGAATTTGCATGACAACTGTGCTAGAGTAGTTTCATGTTCATCAGTGAGGAATATCATGTCATAATTATGTAAACTGCTGTGTGTTGTACCAATGGTTTGTCTATCAATAAATTCCAGAAATATTTGTCAGAGCTGCATGCGATGGAGAAATGGGTCCAAATGCATATTTCTGATCACTGTGGATTTCATTTTAGACAAAAGTTATTAACAAAGCTCAAAGAGATGAGGTAAGCTGCTGTCATTGATCTCTGTTGTTGTATTTGAGTGCATACCATATATCCATGAAAAATTTAACTTGAAAAATCATACAAATCAGTGCAAAGCTTTGTGGGTCTATGGTCTTCTGAGGTCTGCTGAACTTACTAAGACTAAGGTTAAGCGTCAAACTTCACATGAGCCAAACCTAATRAYATCAWAGAAGACYRCCTTGTTATCCATTGTTTCAATTAGGTTCAGCTCATGTGAAGTTTGATGTTTGACTTGGTCCTGATTTGTGCAAATTTGTGCAATTTCTTTTACAAAGTTTTTCATAGATATATTGTATGCACTTTATCTTCATTGTGGCATCAAGTTAGGAACTAAATTACTCCTTGTTTTGTTTTGATACAGCTCTGTTGAGGACATGGTTTTACTACTACTTGAAGAAATGGTGTTTGTAACAAATCTCCAGGACTCATTTCCTGGTCATGAGTGCACATGGTCTCACAGGTCTGTTTTACATGATTTTTTTCTTTATTTTTTGGTTCAGATCTAAATGTTGTATTGCATGGGCCTGTTTCGTTTCCATTGGTTCTCCATTCACAATGCCACACAGTTGCTGAGGCAAGTTGCAAAACATTGCACAACTGTCCCTGTGCAGAAAGCACTCAAACAAAAATTGTGTTGCAAGTTGTCAGATGCAACTGTCTACAATTAAGCCACTTTTTCTGGACTTTATCATTAATATTATTGGTTGTTATGTTTCCCATTACTGGTTATGCTTGAGAATAAAGATATTATGGATTTTATTCAAACAAGGAATCTCATTCCCGAGAGGATGAAACATGGCATAGAAAAAAGTCACACCTACCCCAGCTTGTCATAATCAGTTTTTTGCCTAGACTATAGCTATATTGCATTTATGACTTGCAAGAAAATGCTAATGTAAAAACTTCCTTTTTTGATTCAGACGATTCATTGTTGAGCACTGGCATCTTTGGTTTGGTTCGGTCCCTTTTTCATACCTCCAACAACTTGTTGCACTATCCAAACATTCAAGCCAACAAGAAGCCTCTCATAATGTAACATGTGTTCAACGTTGTTGGGCTCCCTGTGTCAAGTCCTTGAGTTCGCTTTGTGGGTCTGCTCTCAAAGTCAAGTCACTGTATGGGAAAGGTCAAGAAGACAGCCTTAGTTCTATGAAAAGCAATGCTATGGAATTCTTTCTGGTGGAATCCGAATTAGAATATTGTAAGCAGGTCCAGAAAAAATCAAGAAATGATGATCGGTTTGTATCCGGCTACGAAAAATGGCTTGTATTACGTTATGGGAAGGAAAATACTCATTCCCAAAACCCACTTCCTAAAAACTAATGAATGAAAGCTAGAATATAAATTACTATTGAAAAATAATCTATTTAATAGTTAAGTTATGGATGGCAAAATTAGTATACATTTTGAATGCCAATATTTAATATTATTATTGTAATTATCTTATTTTTTTACAATAAAATTTATTCATATATAAATATTTTGAATGTTGAAATTTTGAAACCAAATGTATTTAATTCATTCTGATGTTTGTTATAAGTAAAATGTTTTTTGACGTAATGAAATAAAGACTTTAGTGTGAAACCACGTCACATGAACTAATATCTAGCTATTTAGTATGGGATTATAACTGGAAAAAATGGAATGAAAGTATAAAGTACGGAAGTAGCTAAATTTAGTAAAATTGAAGCTTTTTACGACTATTATTAGCAGTGTTGACCAGCGTCTGTTCAAGGAAATTCATTTTTTCTCAGTTGTGAATTAAAACCTTTGTCACAAAACCCTTGATGGGCGAACAAACGATGCAGATGGCTCTTTCAGACTAGCAGAACCACGTTTTATAATGCCTTGGAATTAAACTTAAGAGTGGTTACTTGTTTCGGTGAACACCGAGAAAAAGATCCTAATTGTTCGACGAAAGAGGATGCTTAGTAAAGAATAAAGATCCATGAGAAAACGACATATTGCATTAAATATCATTGTCTAGAAACACTCAAAATACTTAGAACTTTGCTGATGTTCGTACTTCAGTTGCTAGACTGCGCCTTGGCAGTACACATGAATGTAATACTTATTTACGAGGCACACTGATGGAGTCTGGCTGACGAGTATAGTCTTGACAATGCTCAGCAAGTCTTAGTTCACTTGTGTTTTATCAGTAGTGTTCTTAAGATATGTTTGGTAATATCTTCGTAGTCTTGGCTTTCGTTGGTACTTGGTCTGTTTCTATTACAGCACCTGTTAATGATGAAACTACATTGGAAAATGGTTGGTATTGCATAAGACTTATTACACAACGATTACGACGGCTACAGTATGTAGCTATAAGTAGCTATATGACTAAACTATTTAGACAACCTCAAACAAATAAGATTACACAAAAATAAACAACCAAACAAACTGACAAAACAGCATTCAACGGCTAAAGCTACGCCGTAAAGATTCTTGTTTTTGTCGCAGCTTGTTTTATCGAGTGTTTTAAGTTAAATTTATCTTTTTATGATGAATCCTGTTTCTCCAGAATCAGATATTAAATATCACATGTTTATTAGATATTGGTTTTATAGATTCTAGCAAAAGGCCGTTCTCGCTCCATATTATTTTAACGTATATTTTAAACGACTTAAAGGCAGATCCCAGAAGTGTTACAGAATTACAGTAGTTGGTATGGAGATAAGAGTAGAGCCAACATCATCTCTGCCAACAAGAATCCAACCAGAAGATTTGTACCCAAATCTGCAGATTTCCTCGTCCTCTTTGATTCACTTGAATGATATTAAACCTACACCAATCTCAACAAACGGCCTATATAAGCGCACGTCATCAACGATGAATACTGTATCATCGTCAGAAGTAGCATATACTACTCGTACAGCGGGTTTTTCATCTTCTTCGAGTCAATCCACGGTCCGTGCCGATCCACAGTCCGATGGGAGGGACTCGACTCCCAGTCCAGCAAACCGCGCTAATCCACAGTCCGATGGGAGGCACCCTACTCCTAGTCCAGCCAACCGCGCTAATCCACAGTCCGATGGGAGCCATTCAACAGCTGCCAGTGGAGCACGAAAAACGAGGTCCTTGGACTTGCAGGATACCAACATCCGAAGAACAAAACGGTTTGTCAATGCCGAGAGTGAAAAACTGCCTACTTTTACACTAAGAGGTAAGTTGACCTAACAAACGCATAGGTGGGTTGTATCTAAGGAAAGGGAGATCCGGACGCATTTGTATTACTTAACATAACCGAACTGACTTTGAGCAAGATGTCCTCGGCATGTTACGACTTTTATGTATCGCGGCTTAAGGTGGCTGGACCCCCTCACGCTTGACCGCTACCTTCCACTTTTGGAACGCTAGTGCATAAACGTCTTTTATCCGATTGCAAATCTTTTTTGCACATGAGTCACATAAAGATTGAATTAATGTTTGATGCAATTTTTAGTGAGATCGGACGTCATAACACGTGATTATGATGAAATATTTGTTTTCGTTTAGAAAATAA